CCTCCCTCTGCTATATTTTGGTAGAGTTTGAGAAGGATAGGTGTTAGGTCTTCTCTAAACGTTTGATGGAATTCGCCTGTGAAGACATCTGGTCCTGGTCTTTTGTTTGTTGGAAGATTTTGAATCACAGTTTCAATTTCAGTGCTTGTGATTGGTCTGTTCATATTTTCTATTTCTTCCTGATTCAGTCTTGGCAGGTTGTATATTTCTAAGAATTTGTCCATTTCTTCCCCATTGTCCATTTTATTGGCATACAGTTGCTTATAGTAATCTCTCATGATCTTTTGTATTTCTGCAGTGTCAGTTGTTACTTCTCCTTTTTCATTTCTAATTCTATTGATTTGAGTATTCTCCCTTTTTTTCTTGATGAGTCTGGCTAATGGTTTATCTATTTTGTTTATCTTATCAAAGAACCAGCTTTTGGTTTTATTGATCTTTGCTATCGTTTCCTTCATTTCTTTTTCATTTATTTCTGATCTGATATTTATGATTTCTTTCCTTCTGCTAAGTTTGGGTTTTTTTGTTCTTCTTTCTCTAATTGCTTTAAGTGCAAGGTTAGGTTGTTTATTTCAGGTGTTTCCTCTTTCTTAAGGTGGGCTTGTATTGCTATAAACTTCCCTCTTAGATCTGCTTTTGCTGCATCCCATAGGTTTTGGGTCGTCGTGTCTCCATTTTCATTTGTTTCTGGGTATTTTTTGATTTCGTCTTTGATTTCTTCAGTGCTCACTTCGTTATTAAGTACTGTATTTTTTAGCTTCCATGTGTTTGTATTTCTTGTAATTGATACCTAGTCTCATAGCGTTGTGGTCAGAAAAGATACTTGATACAATTTCAGTTTTCTTAAATTTAGCGAGACTTGATTTGTGACCGAAGATATGATATATCCTGGAGAATGTTCCATGAGCACTTGAGAAGAATGTCTATTCTTTTGTTTTTGGATGGAGTGTCCTATAAATATCAGTTAAGTCCATCTTGTTTAATGTATCATTTAAAGCTTGTGTTTCCTTATTTATTTTCATTTTGGATGATCTGTCCATTGGTGAAAGTGGGGTGTTAAAGTCCCCTATTATGAATGTGTTACTGTCAATTTCTCCTTTTATGGCTGTTAGTATTTGCCTTATGTATTGAGGTGCTCCTATGTTGGGTGCATAAATATTTACAATTGTTATATCTTCTTCTTGGATCGATCCCTTGATCATTATGTAGTGTCCTTCTTTGTCTCTTGTAATAGTCTTTATTTTAAAGTCTATTTTGTCTGATATGAGAATTGCTACTCCAGCTTTCTTTTGGTTTCCATTTGCATGGAATATCTTTTTCCATCCCCTTACTTTCAGTCTGTATGTGTCTCTAGGTCTGAAGTGGGTCTCTCGTAGACAGCATATATATGGGTCTTGTTTTTGTATCCATTCAGCCAATCTGTGTCTTTTGGTGGGAGCATTTAGTCCATTTACATTTAAGGTAATTATCGGTATGTATGTTCCTATTCCCATTTTCTAAATTGTTTTGGGTTAGTTATTGTAGGTCTTTTCCTTCTCTTGTGTTTCTTGCCTAGAGAAGTTCCCTTAGCATTTGTTGTAAAGCTGGTTTGGTGGTGCTGAATTCTCTCAGCTTTTGCTTGTCTGTAAAGGTTTTAATTTCTCCATCAACTCTGAATGAGATCCTTGCTGGGTAGAGTAATCTTGGTTGCAGGTTTTTCTCCTTCATCACTTTAAATATGTCCTGCCACTCCCTCCTAGCTTGCAAAGTTTCTGCTGAAAGATCAGCTGTTAACCTTATGGGGATTCCCTTCTGTGTTGTTTGTTGTTTTTCCCTTGCTGCTTTTAATATGCTTTCTTTGTATTTAATTTTTGACAGTTTGATTAATATGTGTCTCGGCATATTTCTCCTTGGATTTATCCTGTATGGGACTTTCTGTGCTTCCTGGACTTGATTAACTATTTCCTTTCCCATATTAGGGAAATTTTCAACTATAATCTCTTCAAATATTTTCTCAGTCCCTTTTCCTCTTCTTCTTTTGGCACCCCTATAATTCGAATGTTGGTGCGTTTAATGTTGTCCCAGAGGTCTCTGAGACTGTCCTCAGTTCTTTTCATTTTTTTTCTTTATTCTGCTCTGAAGTAGTTATTTCCACTATTTTATCTTCCAGGTCACTTATCCGTTCTTCTGCCTCAGTTATTCTGGTATTTATCCCATCTGGAGTGTTTTTCATTTCATTTATTGTGTTGTTCATCATTGTTTGTTTCATCTTGAGTTCTTCTAGGTCCTTGTTAAATGTTTCTTGCATTTTGTCTATTCTATTTCCAAGATTTTGGATCATCTTTACTATCATTATTCTGAATTCTTTTTCAGGTAGACTGCCTATTTCCTCTTCATTTGTTAGGTCTGGTGGGTTTTTATCTTGCTCCTTCATCTGCGGTGTGTTTTTCTGTCTTCTCATTTTGTTTATCTTACTGTGTTTGGGGTCTCCTTTTTGCAGGCTGCAGGTTTGTAGTTCCCCTTGTTTTTGGTGTCTGTCCCCAGTGGCTAAGGTTGGTTCAGTGGGCTGTGTAGGCTTCCTCGTGGAGGGGACTAGTGCCTGTGTTCTGGTGGATGAGGCTGGATCTTGTCTCTCTGGTGGGCAGGTCCACGTATGGTGGTGTGTTTTGGGGTGTCTGTGGACTTTTAGACAGCCTCTCTGCTAATGGGTGGGGTTGTGTTCCTGTTTTGCTAGTTGTTTGGCATAGGGTGTCCAACACTGTAGCTTGCTGGTCGTTGAGTGAAGCTGGGTGCTGGTGTTGAGATGGAGATCTCTGGGAGATTTTTGCCTTTTGATATTATGTGGATCTGGGAGGTCTCTTGTGGACCAGTGTCCTGAAGTTGGCTCTCCCACCTGAGAGGCACAGCACTGACTCCTGGCTGTAGTACCAAGAGCCTTTCATCCACACGCCTCAGAATAAAAGGGAGAAAAAGTAGAGAGGAAGAATTAGTAGAAGTAGGAAGGAAGGAAGGAAGAAAGAAGAAAGGAAGGAAATAAGGAAAGAAAGAAAGGAAGGAGGGAGGGATGGTGGGAGGAAGGAAAAAAGAAAGAAAGAAGATAAAGTAAAATAAAATAGAGTAAAATATAATAAAGTTATTAAATTAAAGAATAATTATTAAGAAAAAAAACTGACAGAACCCTAGGACAAATGGTGGAAGCAAAGCTATACAGACAAAATCTCACACAGGAGCATACACATACACACTTACAAAAAGAGGAAAAGGGGAAAAAATAATAAATCTTGCTCTCGAAGTCCACCTCCTTAATTTGGGATGATTCGTTGTCTATTCATGTATTCCACACATGCAGGGTACATCAAGTTGATTGTGGAGCTTTAATCCGCTGCTTCTGAGGCTGCTGGGAGAGATTTCCCTTTTTCTTCTTTGTTCTCACAGCTCCCAGGGGCTCAGCTTTGGATTTTGCCCCGCCTCTGTGTTTAGGTCACCGGAGGGTGTCTGTTCTTCGCTCAGACAGGACGGGGTTAAAGGAGCGGCTGATTCGGGGCTCTGGCTCACTCAGGCCAGGGTGGGGGGAGGGAGGGGCACGGAGTGGGGGGTGAGCCTGCGGCGGCAGAGGCCAGCATAATGTTGCACCAGCCTGAGGCGCGCCGTGCGTTCTCCCGGGGAAGTTGTCCCTGGATCCCGGGAACCCGGCAGTGACGGGCTGCACAGGCTCCCCAGAAAGTAAGTGTGGATAGTGAGCTGTGCTGGCACACAGGCTTCTTTGTGGCGGCAGCAGCAGCCTTAGCGTCTCCTGCCCGTCTCTGGGGTCCGTGCTTTTAGCCGCGGCTTGTGCCCGTCTCTGGAGCTCCTTTAAGCAGCGCTCTTAATCCCCTCTCCTCATGCACCAGATAAGAAAGAGGGAAGAAAAAGTCTCTTGCCTCTTCGGCAGGTCCAGACTTTTCCCCGGACTCCCTCCCGGCTAGCCGTGGCGCACTAACCCCCTGCAGGCTGTTTTCACGCCGCCAACCCCAGACCTCTCCCTGTGCTCTGACCGAAGCCCGAGCCTCAGCTCCCAGCCCCGCCCACCCCGGCGGGTGAGCAGACAAGCCTCTCGGGCTGGTGAGTGCCGGTCGGCACCGATCCTCTGTGTGGGAACCTCTCCGCTTTGCCCTACGCACTCCTGTTGCTGTGCTCTCCTCCGTGGCTCCGAAGCTTCCCCCCTCCGCCACCCACCGTCTCTGCCCGCGAAGGGGCTTCCTAGTGTGTGGAAACCTTTCCTCCTTCCCACCTCCCTCCCACTGGTGCAGGTCCCGTCCCTATCCTTTTGTCTCTGTTTACTCTTTTTTCTTTTGCCCTACCCAGGTACGTGGGGGGGGGGGGGGTTCTTGCCTTTTGGGAGGTCTGAGGTCTTCTGCCAGCGTTCAGTAGGTGTTCTGTAGCAGTTGTTCCACGTGTAGATGTATTTCTGGTGTATCTGTGGGGAGGAAGGTGATCTCCGCGTCTTACCTTCCACCATCTTCCCCTCATCTCTAAATTGAATACTTTTAAAATCCTATTTTATCCCACCTAATGACTTACTAACTATAACCTTTAAAATTTTATTGGTTGCTTTTGGAGTTACAATATATATCTTTAATTAATCACAGTCTAACCTACGTTGTGCTACTTCACATATATTGAAGGAGCCTTACTATAGTGTTCTTCCATATTTCCTCTCCTAATCTTTTTGCTATTGTTATACGTTTTGTTTTACATATATTATACAACCCATGCTACATTGCTATTATTTTTGTTTAAATAGTCAATTATCTTTTAAATTTATTAAATAAGTCTTTTTTTATATTTAATGATATTTATTTTATTTTTTATTGAAGTACAGTTGATGTACAACATTTTGTAATGATATTAATTTTTATTTGACTACAACTGGGTCATATCATATAAGTTTTGATATCTAGCATTCTCTCTATTGTTTATATTTAAATAGTCTCTATTCAGTTTGGATTTTTGTTTGTTTGGTTCTTTTTGGCCACACCACACAGCATGTGGAACTTCCCCCACCAGGGATTGAACCCGTGCCCCGTGAAGTGGAAGTGTGGAGTCTTAACCACTGGACCATCGATGAAGTCCCAGAAAAAGTCTTATATTTACCCAGGTAGTTATCACTTCTGGTGCTCTTTATTATTTTGAATAGATACATATTTCCATCTAGTATCATTTTTCTTTTGCCTAAAGGACCTCCCTTAACATTTCTTACAGTGGTGTAAGAAATGTAATTCTACTGGTGGTGAATTCTTTCAGATTTTTTTATATCTGAAAATGTCTTTATTTCCCTGTGCCTTGAAAGATATTTTTGCTGAGTAAAGAATTCTGGGTTATTTGTTTGTTTTTTTCCTTTCAGTACTTTAAAGCTACTGTTCCATTGTTGGCTTAGTCTGCTCCAGCTGCTATAACAAAAATACCATACACTGTGTGGCTTAAATACAAACACTTATTTCTCACAGTTCTGGAGGCTGGGATGTCCAAGATAAAGGTACCAGCTGATTCATTGTCTGGTGAGTATCTGGCCCACTTTCTGCTTCATGGACAGCCATGTTTTCACTGCAGCCTCACATGGGTGAAAGGGCTAGGGAGCTCTCTGAGGCTTCTTTTATAAGGGCACAATCCCATTCATGAGGGCTTCACCCTTATGACCTAATCACCTCCTAATACCATCACCTTGGGGGTAGGATTTCAACATAAGAATTTTGGAGGGACATAAACATTTGGTCACTTGCAGCTGTCTTCTTACTTTACGTTTTTCTTTCCAAACAGAAGTCATCCTTATCTTTGTTTTCTGTGCATCACCTCTTTTTCCTCTGGTGAATTAAAAATTTTTCTTTTTATCACTGATTTTATACAATTTGCTTATGATATGTTCCTTAACGTAGTTTTCTTCATGTTTTTTGTACTTGGGGTTTGTTAAGCTTCTTGGATCTGTCAGTTTATAGTTTTCAACAAACTTGGGCAATTGTGTACTTACAGGAATACAAAAATATCCAGTACTTGCCTCAGTAGTGGGGAATAATTAGCCTTAGGATAAACAAGGCTCTGATCCCCCCGACAAATCTTAAATAAAAGACTTAAGGTTATTAAATGGTTTTGAAGTAACTGAACTATGTCTCAGACCCCTTTGAGTACTCTGCCCAATGCCCTGTGAAATTGTGAGTTTTTCTAGACTTGCTGATGTGTATAGGCACTATCCCTGTACCTATGTGAGCCCCAAGTACTGTTTCGCTGTAACATTTAGGGTGTCTCTTCCACCAGTCTCTGGTAGCTTTCCCACATACATGCACCAATCCCTATTCTACTGAATATTTAAGGGAGTTCCTCTGTGATCTCTGGAGTTCTCTGTGCAGCTCTCCTCTCCAGTACTCTGTCCTGTAAACTCTAGCTGCTTTGGTCTCCCTGGACACTGAGGTTTGTCTCCTCAACTCAGGGATTCTGCCTCAGGATGTTTCCTCTCCCTATATCACAACCTGGAAATGCTCTCAAGTCGGTAAGCTGAGGGAACCACAGTGCTCACCTTCTTTGTTTCCTGTCTCTCAGGGATTACTATTCTTCTGTGTCTGATTTCAGTGTCTTCAAAACTTGTTTCATATATTTTGCCTGGTGTTTGGTTATTTTAGGCAGGAGGGTAAATCTGGCCCATTGTACTCCAATTTTGCTAAAATTGATAGTTCATTTTCTGTACCTGTTAAATAATTTCTTCCCTGTTAATCCTTCCCTGGTAGAGGACATGTTTCAATATTACTTTGTTGTATTTTATTTATCGTTTCCGTTATTCCTAATTCTACAAATTTATAATTCGTGTAGTCTGCATTTTGGTTCATGCTTTCAAAATTGTATGAATTTCTTCCTCAGGCAGTAACTCATGTAAAAAGGTAAAAATACTTAAATCTAAGAGATGACGTTCACTTAGAAATGTGATCTTCCATAAATTTTGCCGACAATGGTGTGTATGTGTGGCATCCCATAGACGCTGTGTGGATGTTGGTGGGATCGCCCTCTGCTTGGTGAGGTCTGACTTGACTCCGAACCGTCTTAGTTCCAACGAAACCTCAAAGTACTAGGGTGGTCATTGGACTGACCAATCATTGAGCTATAAGATAGCCAAGTAATTTTGAGAGTCTTTAGAAATATCTAGCCATCCTTATCATTTTGTAGATGAGGAAAAAGAATTGTTAAGCATTTAAGAGGCTTACACAAGTCTCCTAGGAAATTCTGAGGTCTAAGCTGAGACTTAGTCTCTGGACTCCCATCCTGGCAATGCTTCCACATGGCTCTTCTCACTAAATATGTCCATGTTAGTGCAGTGGTAATATTAGCATTTATCAGGCCTTTTCTGAGACACCATTATTGTTGACTGGCACTTAATTTACCCTTTTTCTAAATTAATTTTTATTGGACTACAGTTGATTTACAATGTTGTTAGTTTCTGCTGTACAGCAAAGTGAATCAGTTGTACATACACATATATCCACTGTAATTGTTTAATTCCATGCACCTGCTAGGGTTGACAGTGGAGAACTTCATTAATTTGGGCAAGTGTTTTTGTTTGTTTTTAAACATCTTTATTGGAGTATAATTGCTTTACAATGATGTGTTAGTTTCTGCTTTATAACAAAGTGAATCAGTTATACATATGTTCCCATATCTCTTCCCTCTTGCGTCTCCCTCCCTCCCACCCTCCCTGTCCCACCCCTCTAGGTGGTCACAAAGCACTGAGCTGATCTCCCTGTGCTATGCGGCTGCTTCCCACTAGCTATCTATTTTATGTTTGGTAGTGTATATGTGTCCATGCCACTCCCTCACTTTGTCACATCTCACCCTTCCCCCTCCCCATATCCTCAAGTCCATTCTCTAGTAGGTCTGTGTGTTTATTCCCATCTTACCCCTAGGTTCCTCATGACAGTTTTTTTTTCTTTTAGATTCTTTTCCCATATAGGTCATCACAGAGTATTGAGAAGAGTTCCCTGTGCTATACAGTAGGTCCTTATTAGTTATCTATTTTATACATTGTAGTGTGTATATGTCAATCCCAATCTCCCAATTTATCCCTCCTCCCCCCTTCCCCTTTGGTAACCATAAGTTTGTTTTCTACATCTCTATTTTGTAAATAAGTTCATTTGTACCATTTTTTTTAGATTCCACATATAAGCGATATCATATATTTGTCTGATTTACTTCACTCAGTATGACAATCTCTAGGTCATCCATGTTGTTGCAAATGGCATTATTTCGTTCTTTTTTATGGCTGAGTAATATTCCATTGTATGTATGTACCACATCTTCTTTATCCATTCATCCATTGAAGGACATTTAGGTTGCTTCCATGTCTTAGCTATTGTAAGTACTGCTGCAATGAACGCTGGGGTGCATGTATCTTTTTGAAGTATGGTTTTCTCCGGATATATGCCCAGGAGTAGGATTGCTGGGTCATATGGTAGTTCTATTTTTAGTATAAGGAACCTCCATACTGTTCTCCAGAGTGGCTGTACCAATTCACATTCCCACCAACAGTGTAGGAGGGTTTCCTTTTCTCCACACCCTCTCCAGCATTTATTGTTTCTAGATTTTTTGATGATGGCCATTCTGACTGGTGTGAGGTGATACCTCATTGTAGTTTTGATTTGCATTTCTCTCATTTACCCTACTTCTTAATGTCACCCTACTTCTTGCTTATTAGCAATTTAAACTTCAGGGACTGGGATGGGTATGTCCAGTCTGAAAGTAGAAGAATGAGGCACTTCCTGATACCAAGGTAGAGTAGTCTAGAAAACTACTTTCACCAAGTAGTAACTGGTGAAAAGTGAGTTTGGAATATTTCACAGGAATTTAATTTGGGAACTAGAAGTTCTCATGATACGTTTTCTTTTCACCTCTTATTTCAAAAGTTCTATTGAGATTTAAAATACATACAGTAAAGTGTAAAAAAAAATTTAAGGCAGCTTGAAATTTTACTATTTATATAATCTTTTGAAATGAAATGCTATTATGTTAAAGGAAGTGGGTAGTTATAGAATCCCTTGTAATTATCTCCAAGTGGATTGGCTACTCTACGTTTACCCGTTGATCACGTGTGCACTGGTAGACAAGCAATGGGTATTTCCATGATTAATTTGTGTGAAATGGTACTCATATATGGAGTAGAAATTCTAGCTTTGCAATGTAAGCACATTCTGGTATTTCAGCTGTCGTGGACACTGGGTTTGGAAGATCACGACTCTTAGAAGTCTTAGTACCTTCATCTATTAAATGAAAACAATCCCTACCCTCTCAAGGTACTGGCTTAGATTTCTTGCTAGTTATTATGAGCAGGCATGCTTGTCCTGTAACCAAAAGCTCAGTTGTTGTAGCCTACTTCTTGAGCAAGGAAGTAGAACTTCACACACACCTTCAGCTAACTCAGCTCCACTTGTTCTGTTAAAGCAACTTGGGAACCATGGAGAATGTAACATATGGGAATTTAAAAAAAAGAGTCCGGAAAAAACATAAAGAAAAAGATCCTTTACATTAGTCTTAGCAACGAATGTTTGGATATGAAACCAAAAGCACACAAAAAAGCAAAAATAAACAAGTGGGACTACACATTAAGATAAAAAGCTTCTGCACAGCAACAGATACAGTCACCAAAATGAGAAGGCAACCTACAGAGTGGGAGAAAATATTTGCAAACTACATATAAGGCATTAATGTCCAAAATATTGATATATAAGGAACTCCTACAACTCTATAGCAAATAAAATCCAATTAAAAAATGGGCAGAGGATCTGAATAGGCATTTTTCCAAAGACGTACAAATGGCCAACAGGTACTTGAGAGAGTGCCCACCATCACTAGTTATCAGGGAAATGCATATCACCTCACACCCGTTAGAACAGCTATTATCAAAGAAACGAGAGAACACACACAAGGATGTGGAGAAGAGGGAACCCTTGTGCACTGTTGGTGGGAATGTAAATTGGTGCAGCCAGTATGGAAAACAGTATGAAGGTTCCTCAAAAAACTAAAAATAGAGTTACCATATGATCCAGCAATCCCACTCCTCGGTATATAGCTGAAGGAAACATAAACACTAATTCAAAAAGATACATGCACCCCAGTGTTCATAGCAGCGTTACTTAATTGCTAAGGTATGGAAGCAACCTAAGTGTCCATCAACAGATGAATGATTAAAGAAGATGTGATCCATATATACAATGGAATATTATTCACCCATGAGAAAAAAGAAATCCTGCCATTTGTAACAACATGGATAGACCTGAGTGCACTATGCTATGTAAAATAAGTCAGAGAAAGATATACTGTATGATCCCACATATATGTAGAATATAAAAAAAAAACAAACTCAGAGAAACAGTAGAATGGTGGTTACCAGTGGCTGGGAGGTGGGGGAGATGGGGAGATATCAAAGGGTTACCAACATCCAGTTATGAGATGCACAAGTTCTGGGGATCAGAACTATAGTTCAGCATGATGACTATAGTTAACAATACTGTATTATATACTTGAAAGTTGCTAAGAGAGATCTTAAATGTTCTTGCCACAAAAAAGAAATGGTAATTGAGTGAGGTGATGGAGGTGTTAACTAATCCTACTATGGTAATCATTTTGCAGTGGATCAAGTCATCACCTTGTACACCTCAAGCCTACACAGTATTATATCAAATATATCTTGGTAAAGCTGGAAAAAAAAGAATTGACTGTATGTGAAAAGTCAAATGACAGGCTGAGAGAAAATATTTGTAATAAATACATCCAAGTAAGGATTTGCATCACAAATACATAAAGAATTCCTACAAATCAATTAAGATAACTGAATTTTTAAGACTTGAACACCTCATAAAAGAGGCTATTGGGACTTCCCTGGCAGTCCAATAGTTAAGACTCTGTGCTTCCATTGCAGGGGGCACAGGTTTGATCCAGCAGGTTGGGGAACTAAGATCCCCCATTCCTCGTGGTGCAGCCAAAACAAAAATGGAGGAGGACATCAAGGTGGCCAACGACAGACTGAGTGTTCGGTATCACTAATCGTAATGTGAAGGCAAACTGAGATACCACCATGCACACCGAATGGCTAAAACGTAAGTCTGAGAATAACAAGTGTTGGTGAGGATGTGGAACAACTAGAACTTTTCTACACTGTGGTGGGAGTATGAATTAGTATACGACTTTGGAATAATGTTCAGCAATACCATCTAAAGCTAAATATACCTTATTTCTGAGCAAGGTCAGAAATATCAATATTTTATAGTTTTAAAGTCAAATCAACCTTAGTCAAAATGTTTCACATTGAAATTATATAATGGTGAGATCTGAATTCAATTTAGAAAGTGTATAGATTTCTTGTTTACCAAAGTATAACAATATTTGTATCAGTATACTACTGCAAACTACAATATTTGTACAATATTTGTATCAGTATACTACTACAAACTACTACATAGTTTGCAAAAAGGTGAACCCTGGGTGGGACTCTATGTAGGATATTACAGAAAAGCCTCATTTTATTATAGAATAGAAATTTAAATGAAACTTTGAAAAGTTTTGGGCTACATATGTTTCCATAGAAGAGATCTACTTAACTCTCTAAAAATGCTGACCTTTTGACGAGGCAGTATCTGAAGGTGTGGATCAGTAGCCTTCATAAGCCTTTTAGGGTTTACCTCAGGCAGAGTTCAGGCTAATAAATGCATATAGTTAAAACACCATCTCCATCCTAATTACAGAGAAGAGGGAGCTTTTTAATCCACTTATTTGGGGACAGATCAATAAATGCTTTTACTAGTTTTTAAGGATGGTTCATTAAGAAGGAAAAAATAGATTGCAGATAATATATACTGCACCTATTGCTAAAATGCTCTTTAAATCAAGCGTAAGGATTTCACAGTTTAGTACAAGCCAGGGCATTGGGACAACTGAATGGTATGATGTCATCTCTTCTCTAGACAGTTTATTCAATCCAGAGAAGAAGGAAGAAAGGGTAGAATACATGCTTGTTAGGAACAATAAAAGGAAGAATACATGCTCATTTCCTTTTTTTTAAAATGACATCCAGACTTAAAAAAACCTCTGAAATCTTCCTCTAGCCTGAAATATGAAGGGTCTATGTTTGAATCCAACAGTACATCCTGTTTATGATAAGTGATTCAAGTTCCTGGAATGTCCATTAAAAAAAATCTAACCCTTCAATTTTTACACTGCCCCATGCTATTTCAGTGGAGTGGGAGCTTGTATGGGGGGATGTGTCATTGTGTAAGGTGGTCCACCTCCAATCCCCTGTGGAACAAGATGGAATATAGAAATGTGTTTAAAAACTTAACCAAAGAACAAAACCAGAGCACAGCAATTTGTAATGACTATTTATTAACACATGTATCACAAATGTTCACAATATCAATGCATTCTTGTTGGCATGCGAGACAGAGGAATTGTTTTTTAGGATCTTTTAAAAATATTTTGACTATTGTTCCCCCTTCACACTCATTTTTAAATTCATTTGATGAGGTCCTCAATGTCTGTAATGTCAATGCAAAGAAAAAATATAGAAAGAAGTAAAGTAACAATAGCAGTTAATTGGGGAAAAACAGAAGTAATATTATTTCCTTCACAGGAAGCAACAATACAGCTTTGTAAAAGGATTATACAGGTGCACTAAACTGTCTATAAGTTCCCAGGCATGTAACAGTAAGGAGCAGGATGCCACCCAAAGCTCGACAATTTCCTTCGTGCATGACACGTGCCTTTTTCTCCTCATGGACAATTACCAATGCATCTCTTTACATGTCCTAGGCAGCCTGAAGAAGGCAGGCAAGAGCCTTAGTAAAAGGGAAAACCCAACCAAAGGAGATTAAGCCAAAAGAACAGGTAGCTATCTGCTTATCTACATCTAGGGGGGTGCGGCATTTATCAATCATGATCAAGGGCTAACAGGAGCCTCCCACACTACATGCAGGGCCCTGCAGGGCCAGTGATGGTATGGAGAACCAGTCACCTACAATGAGCTGCAGTTGGACCAAGTACAGATGGAGGAGGTGGCACACACAGAGCCTTGGGTGGGGTCCCCTAGGACTAGATGCAGGGAACCTGGCTACACTCCGGCACAACAGGGCTTCACAAGATGGGATGCTACGCATGATGCAGGCTCAAAGGTGGAGCAGAGACTGTGTGGGAGTGTCAGTTGCACGGGGTGAGGGTGTTAGGACAGGTGTATTATGTACTGTGCTCTAACATTCTTTGGAAGTCTTTCAAAGATTGCTGCAGTTCCTTTCGAAAACGGGTCTCTTCTTCCATCATTCTTGAAAGACTAAGAGAAATTAAAACATGTGAGTGACTCACCATTAATAAGGCCTTAAAATAAGGTAGCAAGGTGAAGAGAGCATTTCGACGTTTTCCAGAGCAGTGCTCACATCTCCTCCCCAGCACCACAGAAACGAGGCTTCGGCATGTGGCCAAGTGCCACCGAGATCAAAGAGTGAAGTGGCCAGGCGCACTCTTGTCCCTTCGAAGGGGAGTATGTGCCCCAAAGGGAGAATCCTAGATGTAACCTCCCCCCACCGTCACTCACCTTCTTACACCATCTCATACTGGTTGGCCGTGATGAACCGAGACAGACAGCAGGCCAGCAGCATGCCAATCAGCTGTTGGCAGAAGGAAAGAGAGAACGAGGCTGTGAAGTCACTGAGCTAACACATTTCTAACACACCCCCCTCCGAGGTAATGTTTCACAACTGAGGGCTTTTGTACATGAATGGGGCAAGGGCACTAGGGAAAACGATCAAACCCGATTTCAGTAGTGGGATCTAACTAAGACTTAGGGAGTCTCAGTGCTAGTGGAGGTCAGCTGGAGGTTCTCCAACTGAACATAAGCTTCCAAGTCTAGCTCGCTCTGGCCATTAAAAACAACTTTTGACATGTAAGTAGTAGTAAAATGTGTTCATGTGTTCTGAGAGTAATGAAAAAAATTAAGTACCGCAGAATGCCAGAATTCAAAACCATAAGCGCATGCGTTGGGAAGCTATCTCATAGGATGACACCCCAGCCATACCCGGCTGACAGGATAATAGTTCTTTTCCTTGAGACAATGGGACGCTAATCCTTGACTGGGTGAGTTTGCCAGTGAAGTCAGTCATGGCTTGTGAGAAGTGGGGCGGAGCGGGGGCTTTAATTTCTCTTTGTCTCTAAACCATGTAGATATTTTAGGCCCAAATGGGCCCATCTACACCCAAGGTCTACCCCTTGGTTTTTCAGGGGCCCCGGCACAACCAATATCTGGGTACCTCCACCTCCTCAGAAGACCTCAGTCTTCTGCCCACTTTGTGCCTTGACTTAACCTGTAACACAGGTGGATCTGCTAAAAAGCTGTTGTAACACTAGCAAGACATCCTTAAGTGCAGATGCTTAAGGATCTGCTCATAGGAAATGAAAATTCCCATTCCTGCTGGAGGATCACTCTTTGGACAGGACCCTGATTGTGCACTGGAGTGTAGAGGGCTGCAGCTTCTCTTGGCCATGTGGGGTCCCTTCTCCTTAAGCAATTGGCTATGCTTAATTGGTTCAGAGGTGGCAATGACCTTTAGAGATAATCTAGTACAGTGTCAAATGTGGCCCCGGGACCAGCAGAATCGGCAGCATCTGGGACCTTGTTAGAAACATTCTCAGGCCCCACCCCAAACCTGCTGAATCAGACTCTCTTGGGGATGAGGTCCAGCAATTGGTGTTTTAACAAGCCTTCCAGGTGAGAGAACCACTCATCCAGTCCATCTGCTCACCCTTATCTTACAGGTGACACGTTGGGTCCCACCGTTGGTCAAGGCAACACCTCAACCCCTTTCTAGCTCTCCGCTCAATCCTGCAGGTTCCAACCGGCCTCCCTTTCTTGGTGAAATACCAGAGTCTTATCTTCCTCTTTCAAATGGAAATCGTGCTGTGAAATCTGCAAACTATAACTTCTATCAGGTAAGGAAAGTCACCCGACTGGACTTACCCTGTCTCCTACCAAGGCTCTGGCCACCATCATTTTGTGCCACAAAATACGTAGTATCGTGCATGTACCACCAAGTGGCCGGAGGAACCATGGCTGTCACCTGCAGAATACTGTGCCAAATGAGAAACTAAAATCCCCTGCGTGAGTGCAAGGACTTTGAACCTTACAGCTTGTCTCTTTTCATTAGAACTACCATTTTTTAGGACCAACATACACCAGATCACACTTGATACGCTCAAAATTCAGATGCCAGCCAAAACCCAAGTATTAGAGGCACATAGCACAATCAGGAATATCGAGTTATTTAATCCTTACTACATGCCTGGGCAGTATTACCATCCCAACTGTCCACAGAAGAAAATGGGTTCAGGAGAGGTTAAAGAATCTCCCCCAAACCATACAGGTAACCCACACAGAGTTGAAGGCTCCACCCTCTTCTAGCCAAGGATAGCCCCTTTTCCCACCCTGGGGCCTAGACCCCTTTCCTCTCCAGAATAACTCCTCTGCCTCACGCCACCAAGGGTTCCTTCCTGCCTTACACTGCAGACTTCAGGGAGAGGACTGTCGGTGGGCATCTCTTTATTTGATCTCAAGTTCCTAGACCCTCCTTTCTTTGTAAAGCTTAGCGCTTTAGGTTTTTCTCGTTGACCTCATGTGTATTTCAGCACTTAACAGTAGCCAGCATTCCATTTCACAGTTTGCAATGCTCCTGGCCCCCATGGCAATTCACGAGCCGCACAGCCAGAAAATTCTGCAGTACACTTCAATATTTCTTGCATCTGAGATGTCTGCTTTCAAGGAAATATAGCATGTCCCTCCATCTTTTTTTCCTCAAACAGAAACAGCATCACCCTTAAGGGCACCAGACAAACTTTCTCACAGAAATAATAACTTTTAAAAATAGAAGTAAAAATAAAAGCTATTTGCTTTCAAACTAACTACGTTTTGTATTTCTAGGGCAACAATATACCTTCTGTTTGCCCATGGGAGAAGACTTTTTTAAAATTATTTTTTAACATCACTGTGTGAAGTTGTTAGAGCTTAAAATCGATCAAGCGTTCATTATACAACTTATGATTGTCGTTATCACTCACATTTTGATCCGTTAGGTTTTTGTTCCAACCTTATGTATGCTATGAACACAATTTATTACCGTAAAATTTTAAAAAATGACACATCATGAAAGTTTGAAGAAGAATTTTTCGGTGAATTTTAGGCAGATAATTTCTGATTGTCCAAGCGATATATATATACTAGTGTCTAAGAAGATGACAGTTCTTCAGAATATAGTTCTGATTCAGACGATGTGAATATTAGACCAACAAAAAGACAAAAAAAACCTTAGTGATTGATTCTGATATGGAAAGTGAAACTCATGGTGCTGGAGAATGCTTCTTTACTTCTACAGAAGAGTGGATTTGAAGACAACATTTCATGGAGATTAGACTTTATAGGAGTGTCAGGTGTAACTATTGACTAATAACACACAAAGTGTTAGTGAAATAACAATCTTTGGTAACGACTTTTTCGAGTTGATCGCTTCTCAAACGAACCTGTATCACCAACAGAATGAAAAATCGTATAAAAAGTATAAGGCTTTAAAATGAACTGATGTAACCAATAGTGACATGAAGAAGTTTCTTGGATTAATAATTTTGATGGGACAAATAAAGGCACACTGGAAAGAATACTGGTCAACTGATCCCTTACTTGAAACACCTATCTTTCCAAAGATTATGACGAGAAGAAGGTTCAAACAAATAATGACATTTCTTCACTTTAACGATAACTCGGAAACTCCACTTCCTGCAGACAGAATTTCAAAAGTTAAACCTCTTCTGGATTATTTTCTACCCAAATTTCAACTGATCTATATACCCTAAACAAGAGCTATCACTTGAGGAGGCAAAGATAAAGTGGAGAGGACGACTCAGATTCAAAACCTATAATCCTGGAAAACTTACAAGATACGGAATTTTGGTCAGGGTGCTTAGCAAAAGTGAAACCGGATATATACGCAACCTTGAGATTTACATGGGTGAAGGAAAGAAACTGCAAGAAACAATATTATCGGTCCTACAACCTTATCTTGGTTCATGGCACCATATTTACCAAGACAATCGTTACAACAGTGTGTCCACATCTGAAATATTGTTGAAAAATAAAACCAGAGTTTGTGGGACTATAAGAGAGAGTCGTGGTCTACCAAACCAATTAAAGGAGAAAGCTAAAAATCTACAGAGGGGAGAAATGACATTCTTACAGAAGGGAGAAGTGATTCTTCTTATATGGAAAGACAAGAGGTTAGTCCGCATGGCGACATTATTCATGACTCCTCCACAGCATCTACAGGAAAGTTAGGAGGACTGGACATCAGATAACTAAGCCCACTTGTATATTAGAGTACGACAAATATATGAAAGGAGCTGATCGATCTGATCAATATCTGGCAAACCTCAATATCCTCTGGAAAACTCGAAAATGGTATAAGAAAGTGGGTTTCTATTTGATTAATTGTGGTGTATTCAATGCGTTTAAAATTTATTGTAGCCTGGGCTTCCCTGGTGGCGCAATGGTTGAGAGTCCTCCTGCCGATGCAGGGGACATGGGTTTGTGCCCCGGTCCGGGAGGATCCCACATGCCGCAGAGCGGCTGGGCCCATGAGCCATGGCCGCTGAGCCTGCGCGTCCGGAGCCTGTGCTCTGCAACGGGAGAGGCCACAACAGTGAGAGGCCCGCGTACCGCCAAAAAAAAAAAAATTTATTGTAGCCTTAGTGCACAGAATAAAAAGTCTTACAAGCAATTTTTGTTAGCAGTAGCTAGAGAATGGTTAACTGACCATCCTGGTGAACGTAGTGGTAGTCCCGCACCTGGTCCTTCTTGTGGCGTTTCTGAAAGAGCCCCCTGCAAAGACCCACCTTGTCGACCACCAGGTAAAATAAACGAACATCTTCTAGAGGAAATGATACCCACAGGACTAAAATAAAAAATGCCGCCAGAAAGTATAGAGTCTGCTCTTCCAGGGGAAAGCACAGTGAAACATGGCATATTTGTAATAGATGTTCTGTTCCCCTGCACAGAGGTGCCTGCTATACCGCCTATCCTGTTCTAATGAAATATCAGAATGCTTTAGTAAGACGTGAACAAAGTTTCAGGTAAATACGTTAAGTGCAAAAAAAGTTGTTGATATTTACTCAGACGCGGGTGTTTCAATATTCACTTACAGAACAAATCGCTGGCCACAGGTGTTAGTTTCTGCAAAAATCCCCTGGGCAATAATGTTAACGTCTACTCAGAAATTGTTCCGAAAAAAAGTCCTGAGCTGAGGCACACACAAGCTTTGTGAATACAGCAGTTTACATATATTGGCTTTTATTTTAGTTAATTCTAGTGCAAGAAAAACTAGGATTTGGGATATGGTGGGTGTTTTGAATTGTTTGCAGGATTACTGACGTCAAATTTGCTACAGTGTCTCATCATATTTGAGAGAAAACTTTGATCTCTCATTTCCCTAAGCACCAAGTTAAGGGAAAGCGGGGAGGGGGGAAACATCCTATACTTAATACCATTTACTACCAGATTATTTCTAGGTACATAACTGAAAGCCTGGTAAAGACATAGCCTCTTTCTCAGAGTCAGGACCAAACGCTCGCTTGCCACTAGACCCGATTAATCTGTACACAGAAAAATCCATCTTTATTTTGTTTTAGGTTAAATATATGTAAATAGCGCCTCAAAGAACAGAGGTATGCTCTGTGGGATTCCAGCCTGCCCCTCAGAAGCACACTGCTGATGTGTCTTAAGGCTGGAGACTGTGGGCACCGGAACAAACTTCTGCTTTAAACCCCGGAGGAAGACGGGAAAAGGAGAGCTTGCCTCTTACGCTAAACAGCCCTCAGGACGGAGACCCCAGAGTCACCTCTCCCTCTCCCCGTGACTGGCGAAGTGTCAAGTGCCGTACAGCCTAGGGAGTCTGAGGTCAGATTATTTATATTGTCGTCTAAGACTTTGTAATTAGCCTTCATCTAATCGTTGGAAGTAACATTTTCTTTTTACCGCTCTCGGCATTGTCTGTACTATATATTCTGCTTTCTTTTGGGTCATGAAAACCTCCGGGAGCCCCTTTGAGAACTGAGAAGCCAGAGAGGGAAGGACAGACTTATAAGAGGTCTACTCTAACCTCCTCGAAGCATTCCCACAAAGAGAGCGCCAGTAACAGCGATCACGTCGCTGGGGCTCTGCTAATTACCAGGAACAGGATGGACTCCAAGAGGCGGCAGAGGGGCTGAGAGAGGGGTGGGGTCCAGGTCAGCAAAGGCGACAGGGCAAGGCTGTCTTCCCCTGCGATCACCATGGGAGGTAAACGTGGCCCGGTCCCCGATTCCTGAGGGGCAGAGAGAGGCCAGCAAACAAAGTGTAAAAGGCAACTTTCTTAACAAGAAAGTGGCAAAAGCAATAGGTCGAAAATTTCGATCCTTAGAATGTCTGTGGAGATTTTATGTTCATGACTGAACTGGGTAAGTGCCAAGGTATCTGGTTTGAAATAAAACTGTATAAATGCTTTTAGGGACCGTTTCAGGGCCTGAAAACACTAGGGGAATAAGTAAAAACTTCCGTTAGCCTTATTCAGCCATGTCTCATCAAGGCTATTGACAGCTTTGTTCCCTGCCCTCTATACAGAAAAGGTAAACAAGTCCCAGAAAAGAATCCTTGGTCCGTAAGGAATCAGCTCAGTAGCCTGTGGGCCCCGGAGGAGGCCCTGCAGCGGGGAGGGTCAGGGGATGGATAGGTAGGAAGAGGATCTGTATTTTTTTAATGTATTTTTGGCTGTGTTCGGTCTTTGTTGCTGCGTGCGGGCTTTCTCCAGTTGCGGTGAGCGGGGCTACTCTTCATTGCGGTGCGTGGGCTTCTCATTGCAGTGGTTTCTATTGTTGCGGAACATGGGCTCTAGGGGCCCGGGCTTCAGTAGCTGTGGCACATGGGCTCAGTAGTTGTGGCTCACGGGCTAGAGCACAGGCTCAGTAGTTGTGGCGCACGGGCTTAGCTGCTCTGCGGCATGTGGGATCTTCCCGGACCAGGGCTCGAACCCGTGTCCCCCCTGCATTGGCAGGCGGATTCTTAACCACTGTGCCACCTGGGAAGCCAGGATCTGTATTTTTTTAATGAGTACCTTTGTCTTTGCAATTCCACGGACTCAAATCCTTTCATTATAAAGGCACAAACTGAGCTCCATTTAGGTGCTACGTGAAGCAAGAACAAGGGTTGTCTCTGGCCTGAATGTTGAATACAGCAGACCAGATGAGACCCTCAGAATTGTAATCCTGGATCTCCAGTAGCCACCCAGCCTCAAGCAAAGCCCTCAACTCTCCCTCTGGAAAACAGCTCCACCGTCCTTACTCAGGACTGTAACATTCTGTGCTTTGGGGGATTAATCCAGCCTAATAGTCTCCAAGTCTAGCGAAGCTATTTACGTTGGATACAGAAGTGCTAAATCCAGAGACCCACAGCAGAAGGCCAACCAAGGCGGGAAGCAGTGTCACAAACTGAGCAATACGAGTGTCCAGACTCGGACGCTTGGTTTCCAGGTCATGTTAGGGACGAGGGAGGTGAGGCTATTTCTCTGTGTGTGTGTTCCCAAGACCCCTCGAATAAGAGAGTAGCTGCCGAAGATGCAGGGAGGAGGTACCCTATAAAAACACACTCAGCCATCTGCTATAGATTCAGGGCAGCAGGACCTGCCCATCAAGTCCAGACAAATGGCCTTCTCCTTGCCAGGGCAAAGGCACTGGGACTTTGTGCAGACAAATATTAAACACCTGCCCAAACCCTGCTATCCAAAAACAGCACTCAAGAGCTTTAAGTTAGCTAAGTTAGGTAACAGGACAGAGTTCTCGCACAGTCTGTTAAAAGGCTAGACTCAGCTTAGTTTCCCTTGTACTTTATACTACCTTTGATTTCTAAGACAGCAGATGTGCAAGGCCGGTTTGTTCCAACAGGATAGCGTGGACGTCATGAGAGCGGGTGAGGAAGAGGGCAAGGAGAAGGTGGAGAGCAGGTAAGGAGTGGGGCAGGTGCTCTCTTCTTTCCTACCCACTTTGGCCTCTACTCAGCAGAGCTTGCTTTCTTATACGAAGGCTACCACATAGGCCACTGTGATTTATCGGTATCAGCCAACATCTGCTAAGTTTTACTATAACGCTTGTTCTAGAATTTTTGAACACCTGTGGCTAAAGCTTTGGTGGCAGGTGAGTAAGGCTGGTTCTTGAATGGGCATCTGAAGTGGCCACCGTGGTCCCAGAGAGGCCCTGGATCTACTGACGACTGGAAGCCAGCTTCAGCTTCCGGGTACCCTGAGGCTGCTGGCACCGTTAAAAGCTGCAGTTCCTAGTGCGTCTGGCTAATAACAGCCGGCCATGGCCATTCCTCCCTGCCCCAAGCTGAGCACAGCAGATCTCAAGTCTCTGCCCCACTGTGGTTGACCGGTCTCGTGGGTGAATGGTACTGCCTCTGCGATGCTCCTGGGCTTTGGGTTTTGTTTTCTTATCCCAACAACTCTGCAGTACCTTGAAGAAACCTAAACTCTGAAGAGAGTCTGTCTGGGGCTTCCTTGGGGCCAAAGCCCCTTTCTCGTTGCCCCAGAGGGCCACAGAGCAAACTCAGCGAGCCCCACGGCAGGGGTTTCTTCCACGTAGCACACAGAGATGAGTGCTCATCGGGCCAGATAACCACTGGTCTACACCCTAAATCCCTCCACGGGGATGTGAGAAGTGCGAGAGGTATTAATCAGATTCTTTATGACCTGGTTCACCTCACTCATGAAAGTAGGACTGTTTTCCCAACCCCTCGTGGCCACATGGAAAGGTTCTTGGATGAAAAGATGCTTCATCCACGAGAGTCCTGGCTCTCTGAGGCTCTCTGTTCCCCAGGGAGAGTACCGGCTTCGTGTCCCTTCATGGGTCTAGGGTAGCCATGAGGGCCGACTGCAGCCATATTCCTTCCTCCAAGGGGACGGTCCTCCTCAAACGCAAGCACAAGCCTGTCCTGTAGGTGGTTAACCCAACACTGCACATACATGTGTAAAGCAGACCATATGTGCACCTGCCAGATGCCTCCTGCACACTGCATCGGACACATGGTCCAGAATCCTCTAAAATGTCCCCTGGCCATTACTGATATGTCACTGAAGTGTTATTACTGAAACAGGATAGCAGCCAGAAGAAAGTTCAGGGCTGCAACTTCTTTCGATGTGTCTCTCGAGACCGAGTTAATCAGTACTGTCTGTGGCACCAATCTGGTCTGTGTGTGTTGGCGTGTTGAGGGTTTAAGCCCTTCCCGAGCCGCAAAAAAACAAAACGTGGTAAAAGATTTTTAAAACTGCCACAAGAAATACACACTCGTGCTGGCTGGGCCCACATGCCCTTGTGAGAGGAAATGTCACACACGGTTTGGTACCTTCTTGGGAAGAAAAGCTTATTAGACTTAACTGAGGCCAAGCCCTCCATGTGCAAAAACTACCAGGCTAACATGCTATGCCTTGATCTAAGTGGTGGTCAGTACATTTGATAACTTATTAAGCTGTAGACTTACAATGTGTGCGCTTCTCTTTATAGGCCATATTTCAATAAAGATGTTTTAGGAACAAACTTAAATAAGATTAAAGTACATCTGCATTGCTCAGCGAGAAGGGAAGTGGTATAGGGGCCGTGGAGGGAGGGGTAATTATAGTCTGGGAGACCTGATATAGAATTCAGGCAGATAAAACCAGAGCCATGGCAACATTACTGAGGTAACACTAATTGGGCTTTGTTGGAAAAATGATCTGTTGGTCTGAAAAAAATTCTGTGTTAAAGATAAATCAATTTTCTTTTGGTTGTTAGGTATATATGCCGATCCTTCCACCCACAGCAACATTATAGCAACTGGCCGGGAGATCAGAAGCCTGTGGGGCAACACACCGCCTGGTGCAGGTGGGCAAAATTTTAGATTTCGCTTAATCATGTTCCATCCTTGAGTATGTGTGGCTTGCTTAGTTTGCATAATGGCTTCTCCCATTCTTTTTTAGAGGCTGGGTGGAGATAAAGGCATATAACATTTCATATACACAAATTCAGTTTCCTCTTAAGAAACAATAATCAAACCTCGAGATCCAATAATGAGGACAGGATGAAATTTGCTACATTGCGGCTTTCTTTAAAAGGGAGCGAGCGATCTCATGCACAATCCCCGGGAGCTAAGAACCAAAAAGGGACAGGTCAACCAGGAAAAGAGCCCTACCCTCCTCCCCGAATCCAGATCAGCCATTTGATGTTTGGAGTTGTTTAGGCTCCAATTAAGGCGGCACTTCGTTCAGCTAACCTCCATTTGACCTACAGAAGAAGGGAGTTGTTTTTCTGGAGCTAGTCATTAGTTGAACTGTAACCAATATTCCCTTGATGGCAAAACTTCATTTAAGTTGAAAAAGGAAAATCAATAAACAGATGACCTGAGGACTAATGAGCAAGGAGTTCTGACCCCATCCATCAGCCTTTCCCCAGGCACGGGGAGGCCACCACAGAATCTGGAGACCAGGGAGGGAAAGGAGAGCAGGCGACAGAGGAAAGGCTAGGTCCGACCGCAAGATTACCTGGGAGAATGCGATCCCAAAAGCCACTCCAGCGATGATTCCCATGTTGGTCTCCATGAAACTGGTCACCAGATCATAACAACCCTGAAAACACAGAGACACGGTCTCAGAGACATGTTTCACCCACGCCAGACCGGCTGGGCTACCTCGCGACACTCCCACATACACCCCAACCTTCATTCTGCGAACAGAATGAAAAATCTCAAACATACAAACGGTACAGAACCCCCAAGTGACCCTTCCTCTAAAATCACAGTGAACATATGGCCGATCTTGTTTCATTTAAATTTCTTCAACACGCATCCCCTGGCTGGATTATTTTAAAGTAAATCCCAGATATACACTTTCATCCACAAACGTTTCTGTTGTATGATGAAATTTAGCAAGAAGTCTGTAAGATCCATGAGGCGAATGCTATAGGGATACAGAAGCAGACTTAAACACGTGCAAAGGCATTCTGCATCCCTGATCAGGAAAACTCAGCATCATAAACATAGTTACTAGCATTTTGACAACAAATGACAGAATCTTAGATAAATAAAGTGAAATCCTCTGGTTAGAAGGTGGTGTTTGAATACCTGCCAACCTTATGGTACTTTAGGGTTCTTCCTATGGAGACCATTAAGCTTTTTTTTAGTAGGGAAAATCCCATGTTCTAGAGTCATATTTTCCACAGATGTACTATGGGACCTTGAAGAAGTCACTTACCCTCTCTCTGTTATGATGTCAATAACCTCGTTCGTAAAATGAAGTGAGTTTCCCTTTAACATCCTGTGAAATCTCCACATGGTGTGGTTAAAACCAACACCAATTTTACCAATTTCAATGTTAGTTTAATATTGATAAAGTTTAATTTCTTTAAAAGAAATGGTCTGGTTGGAGTTCGACAATGTTGCTAAACTAGCTTTGTTGTTATTCTGGATTACATTTTATCAACCCAGTCCAGGACACCAAATTTTGTGCATCACTCGTAAGGCAAAGGCAAAAGCTGACTTCTTGTTAAAACGCCTGACAGCTCAAACAGCAGGAATTAGCGAACATATATGTGTGTCAGTGTGTGAGTGTATTTCTGTAGTTTGGAACTGGGCCAAATCAACCTAAACTTCTAAACTGACGTGTTCAGCTTTGGAAGACATGGTCATTTTCCAGTTTTCTGAAAAAGGGCCTCAGCTTGAATGTATGAAGTCTGTGAAAAATCAAGACAATTTCATAAACAGGGTAAAGAGGATTATTGTTAATCGAGAAAGGCCCACTAAACTGTAATAACATCTGAGGAACAAGAACAACCAAAAACATGTCTCCCATTTTTAAATTCAAAGTTTAATGATTTAACATTTCTCATAGAGCTTGTGAAAAGTCTGCCAATGCTGTATCTTCTAATAAATGATATTTTATGCATTCACAGTCTGTTTGCAAAGACAAAGATGCATTAATTTAGCAGCAGTGCTTTGACACATGTTTTCAATGCAATGGACAAACTATGCTCCTTAGTTACCTGATGCAAATTTGAAGGCCGGGGCAGGGGTGGGAAAGGAAATACATTATTGCTCATGGAAAGTTTTTCAATTTGCTTCTCTTTATAGGAGAAGCTTGCTCACTGATTTCATTTCTACGAGTGAAACTATATATCACACTATTTTCCAAAAGGTAGTGGAAAGAAAGTCAGTTCAGGTTAGGAAGAAGTCAAAGCCAGAAGAGAGGTGGATATTCTAGCACTTTCCCAAATGCAGCAGCTAAGATAGAGTTTTTCTGTGCTGGTCGTTGTTCATTGCTGTATCTCCTCCCCACAGCGATGCTCGGGCCAGGGAATGAAGTTCAGACCACCACCAGTGTTACATCAGCTCAAAATATGGAAACACAAACCCAGTAATAAAAACCAGAGAGAAGTGAGGTGAGCTATTTTCTTACTCTGCAAAATAGTTTGGGATAGGTGTTTTTGGTTTTTTTTGGGGGGGGGGAATAGGGTTATTTTTTTTATTTTTTTTTTTTTTTTTTTGCTGTGAACTTTAATTCTACACATAAGGTGAATATGTTTTTCTAAAGTATGAAATCTCCCACAATGGAGTAGAAATCAGAGTCCGTCACATTTTTGAAAAGCCCACTCCAACCAGTTAAGAGAAAACAGAAAAATGAAGTAAGGGCCTGGCATTAGTACCACTGTGGCAAAATCGTTCTCTCTAAACCTTGCTCCTCGCACCGGGGTTTTGCTACAAGCAGCAGAAGCAGCATTACTGGGGATTTTGTTAGAAATGCAGAATCTGAGACCTCACTCCAGACCTACTGAACCAGAATCTGCCAGATCCCGGGGTTACTCATTTTTAATGAGTTTTAATGAATGTTAATATCTCCAGATGTTTCACGTGCCCATTAAAGTTTGAGAAGCACTCTTCGCTAAGAAAAGTTCCTCCATCCTTTTTCACTCTAAACAAAGAGCAAATTAATAAATTATAGCAATAAGAGAGTTACTTAAGGTGAAAAGATGAAAGTGATTTAGCTTCTTCATTGTTGTTTAAACGATGCAAGACCCAGGTTGCAATAAATGCTTTCCTTCTCCAGCTTTTCCTCTGTTGTTCACTCTATGGACCCACAAGCCCATTTTCCAGGTCTCGGCCTAGCTCTGCAGACTGCCCGAACTGCTTCAATCCTACAACCCCAGTGCACGTTTGCCTTCCACCTCAAGTTCTCCCCGAAAATCCTCTTATCTACCCACAACGATCTCTCTTAATTTCTGAAAATGAAAGCCTGAACAGGTAATTTGCTCACCCTCTCAGCAAGTCTAAATCAACAGGGCCTCTGATGGGAAACACCTGCAAGTGGCAGGCTTTTCAGTAGCAGGAGTAGCACGGCTGCTTCCAGGCAGGTACCGGGAGGAGGTACCTCTGGAGCTGCCAACCAGAATAACTCTCTTCCTCTTGCCCTGGCTCTTTAAAAAAAGGCAAGGAATTCCTAGGGGGTAGGGGTCGGTCAATGCTGTTAGCTAACTGAACCTGTGGAAGTTTGATCATCATGCTTAGCAAAACCAAAATCAAAGCTGTCCTCAAAACAAAACGATCAACATCCTGCTTAACCGCTCTCACCTTCCTGCTCTCTGCCAGTGATTTGTACAAGGTAGGTTTCTCAGGCTGCCAGGTAAGAGCCCAGAGCCACCTTTCTGTGCTATCAGGGCACAGGGTTCAAGACACTGAAAGATCTATGGGGATTGAGAATACATGTATTTTATATAACAGGATTCCACAGAACTAGGACGTGGTGGGAGTTCATCTTCCTGGGGGAGGGAGTCAGTTTGGGGAGGCTAACGTTTATGAGCATCGACTATCACTCCACATCTCCACCCCGTCCGCACTGCTTACCTTTTACAGATGAGGTGTCACAGACTCAGGCCTGGGAAGTAATTGGTCTGAGAAGTTCAGGTGGGCATTAAATGAGAATATCTAATGAAACTTCCTAGGCAAATTTCAGTTTTCATTCACTTTCTCTCCACAGAGGGAGCCAGGTTGGAGGGTAAAAGGGAAGTGAGAGAGAAGTATCTCTTCCAGGTATCTGAGGCACCCAGGAAAATGTAAAGTAGGATTGTCGGGGGTGGGGGGGGAGGCTGGGAGCGAGGCCAATTTGTAGGTTATCAGTGAAGTGAAAAAATGCTCCCCTATCTTTCTGGAAATCATTGTAAGGATTCTAGAGGTGCACTATAGGATCTGCCTCTAAGCCTGCTTTTGAATACAAACAAAAGACCCTCCCTACAAGGACCTGCTGCATCATTTCTAATAAAAGGCACAGTGTGGTAGGGTGGAAGACAAACGTCACCGTTATTGTGACATTTACACCACAGCTACCATTTAACATTACAGTTAACGTTCATCTTGTCCTTTACTCTCTGCCATGCACTGTGCTTTAGATGTTTTATCTCATTCAATTCTCTTGTCAATCCTAAGGGGCAAGAACTGTTATCCTCTCTATTTTACAGATGAGAAAAACAAGGCTGAGAAAGGTTAAGTCACTTGATCAAGATCACACAACCAGCAAGTGGCTGAGCCAGGATTTAAACTGCAGTCTGACTCCAGACCCTGTGGTCCTGACTTCGAAGCCCTCAACTTTCACAAGAGAAGTAGTTTGGGTGCAACTTTTTTTCAGAAAGAAGGCTTTTATCAAGGTTGATGATTGCCGCCTCTACAAAGGACCTCCTGAGGCTCTGCTGTGCCAATATCTCACTCCATAAAGCACGTCTTGCCTTCTATACATCGGAGTGTCCACTGAGCGCCAGGTCTGCTCAGCACTTCATACAGTGGCAGCAGAATGACATATACGGATGCTCAGTGGAGGTGTCCATGAAGAAACCAGAAGTCACCTTGCTGATGAGAGGTGAAGGAGGCCTCAAACTTGGGGTTCATAAAAAATTCCAGTTGGAACAGATGTTCTCTTAGCTCACACAAGAAGCTGTCTGTACTGAACATCTTATCTCACCACACCAACAGCCAAGTAATAAACCCAGAATGACAAAAGGAGCTTCCAGAATATGGCAACAGTGCCTTGCAGCAGTTCTGCTACAAATACCAACATTACATGGGTAAAGTATAGAAACCATCTCTTAACATTCTTATCTTGAAAGGATGGCTATCTTCTGTGAATTATTCAGTAGTGGGCCCAGATCCCATAGAATTTTGAAGACCTTAGAAAACTAGAACTTTGGGATTTCCCTGGTTAAGACTCCAGGGAAGTCCAATAGTTAAGACTCCAAGCTTCCACTGCAGGGGACACGGGTTCGATCCCTGGTCGGGGAACTAAGATCCCACATACCGTGCAGCGTGGCCAAAAAAAAAAAAAAAAAAAAAAAAAAACAAAACTTTACCTTAGTAAGAAAAGAAAATTTACCTGATGGCAGCATAACCACAGGTAAACTCAACAGTAGGGTTTTTTTCCTCCCTTTTGTTTCAGCAAGACATAGTTTCTATCTGGCATTTCCCTAAACGTTTAAGAATAGATAGTCCTCACACACAGCTGTATCATGTCTTCATCAGATTCTCTGCAGAGTGGAATACAGAATTGATTTTCCTTTTCTCTACCTAAGTTTCATTTCCCTCATTTCTACTATGTACTAACTTCCAAATTTCTCTTGGCCAGTTTTTTTTTTTTCCTCTAATCTCTTTGGGAGTCAGGATGTTGAGAGTGAGTTGAAGTTGTTGATTTCTTTTCCCAATGCAGTGAAGTCCCTAAAATCAAGGCCACCCTCCTCGCAGAAGCAGATGCTGTCTGTCAACTCAACTCCCTCTTTCCGCTGAGGACCGGCACCCAGCTGGGAATAATTTCATGTTTCGAAGGTACATTAAGCAGAAGACAGACACCCAGAAAGAAGGCCACATTCCCTGACATCAGCATCAGGGTTAACAGGAACCACTTGCTAACCCTTCCTAACTATGCCTCGTAGAGTCTCGCTGAGGCAAGGCTTTCTCCTTCAGAAGTGGGCAGCCCAGTGCCTCTCCCTGGCCAGGAAGAACCACAAAGGAAGATTCCTGACTCTCTCCAAGACTATCATTTCTAACCTATTTGTCATAATTTCACAGAGACGAAAAAGCCCTCCCCAAACATTCACCACTGAGTCCCATCAGGACCAAGAGGGAGTGAGTACCTTCTGGTTCACTTTAGTGGCGGCCACGGTCAGGTTGTGCAGATCCTGGGGATTACAATCGGTGTCGTTCATGCAGCAACTTGGGGGGATGCCGTGCTCCAGAAAGTAGGGGCTGGTGCTCCAGTTGGTGTAGTTCTGCACCCCACAGCAGCTCAGCTGTTAACGGGAAAAGGAAAGGAATTAAGTGTGGCAGATCAAAGGCACTGTGGTCTCTGCACCCAGCGCTTTGCAGCTTTTAAAAGAAAAACATGGGCCCAGGCCCTAAGTTGACAGGCACAGCTTTGGTGAGCCAAGATGAGCTGAAGCTCCACTAGCAATTCTACTCACTGGCATACCCACGTGAACTCAGCGGACGAAGTGAGTCCTAGACGCCATATTGCGTTGGTTTCCACCTCCCAAAGCCAAGCAGCTGCTCTCTGGCCTGGCTAAGCATCAAAATCACCTGCGTGATTAGGTGCTGCTAAAGAGACAGATGTAGAGAGCTACTGAGTCAGGACCCTCGATGGGGAGCTCAGGCCAAGATGGTTTTAGAAAGCTCTCCCCAAGATCTGTACTAATACGTACATAAATAGTTTAGGGGGGAAAAAAGATGCACATTGAGGAAGAGAGAGAGTTGGTGCTGGTAAACTACAGCCCACCAGCTACCTGGTTTTGTAATCAAGTTTTACTGGGACACAGCTGTGCCTCTGTGTTACGCGTTGTCTAGGGCGGATTTTGTGCTACAAAGGCAGAGTAGAGTAGTTGTGACAGAGACTGCATGGCCTTCAAAGCCTCAAATAGTTACTACTTGACCCTTTACAGCAAAGATGTGCCAACTGCTGACACAGAGGCTATTGAAGCAGACGGGGCAAAATATGTCATTAATTGGTGAATCTGGGTAAAAGGGGTACAGCTCCTTGTACTATTCCTGCAGCTTTTCTGGGTAACTTTGAGATTCTACCAAAATAAATTACCAAAAACATAAAGATACTGCTTCTAAAGTCAAAACAAAACAACACAACAATAAAAGACACCCCTCAATCAAAAACCTCTCCAGGGGCTTCCCTGGTGGCGCAGTGGTTGAGAGTCCGCCTGCCGATGCAGGGGACACGGGTTCGTGCCCCGGTCCGGGAAGATCCCACATGCCGCGGAGCGGCTGGGCCCGTGAGCCATGGCCGCTGGGCCTGCGCGTCCGGAGCCTGTGCTCCGCAACGGGAGAGGCCACAATAGTGAGAGGCCTGTGTACCGTGAAAACAAAAAACAAAATAACCTCTCCAGCTGATCCTGATGGGCAGTCAGGCTTGAGCACCTCCAGGCAGGAAACAACTACTTTCCTCATATCCTCTGAGAAGCACCAGGCAGCCTAGGCCATTCACACGCCTGCAGGATCCTCAGTTGCTCTGAGATCGGCTCTCCAACCCCACTGCACCGCCCAAGCCGGTGAACACAGCTCACCTGAGCTCACCGCCCAGCCTCAAGACACCATTTCCAGAAGGCTGGTCTTAGGGAGCCAACTCGAAGTCAGGCTGTCCTACACTCACTGTTCCAAGGCTTCAGATTTTAAGGGCAAACTAGCTCTCCTTGGGATGCTCACATCCTTACGGATGAAAAGCAAACCGGAGGGAGTGGTCCTTCTTGGCATCAATTACCTGGATCCCTGGACCCTGAAAAAGTACTGGATGTCCACTGTTGGAAAGGGAACTGGGCCAAGAGGCGGAGAGTGGGGCTCAAGAGCAAACACTGCCAGTCCAGCGTCACCGGCAGCCCACAAGTCCACGGCCCGACCTCGCAGGCCATTGCCAGCCCCATCTCCTTCCTGGAACTTACGCTGCGCTGCACGTGATCCACCGCCCGGCTCCTCTCGTCGTTGCCATTGTAATTCTGCATGGCATCAGTGTAAGTCCTCAGGAAGGTGTCCTTGATCTAGGGAAGACAAGGGGCGATGTGCTTCTGGTCCACTGCAGCCCAGATGGACACAGATTCGTACCAACTTCCACCCCAAAATAGCCTCTTCTTAAAGTCTCCGAATAAATGTAGACCAAGGAGGGGGCGCCCTGTTTTCTGAGACAAAAGAGCTCAGAAGATCGGCCAAGGGGGTTGTTAGCTCAGGAGTTTTAAAAAAATGTTCCCTTACCCCCAGTCCGGAGGAACCCTGCCTAGTTCAATGAGCCACTCAGGTGTCTACTCAGATTCAGAAAGGGCTGTGATGGTTTTCTAGTTATTTTCTTGGAATTGGTTACTGCCTTGCTTTCTATAACTTTTTCTGCCCTTACTCAGAAGAATGACAGAGGACAGGCCATTTGTGTGTGGGGCGGGCAGGAAGACCGATGTTTTGACCAGAATCAGATCCCTAGTGTACCATACAGGAGTGGGGCAAAACCAGCTTTCACTTACCTGTCTTCATTGAGATGAGAAAAAGAGACTAAAGGACATGGACTTTATTTGTTAATAAACAGTTAGCAAAACCCTTTCTCCTTCTCTGTGAACACATTTGACCTTGGGTTATCTTTCAAGTTCTGTTTTCCTGGAAACCTACTGAAGGCGGAGCATCAGGTGTGTTACCAGGCAACCCCGCTTATGGTAAAAAGTGCCCCGATTGGTGAAATGACTCTGGCCTTGGACTTCAGCAAATGAAAATAATTACCTGGTGGGAAGCTTAGGGCTAAATATGGTGACTCTTCTAACTAGGCGCGTTCCTTGCTGAGATACTGGCCGCTATGCCCATTGGACAGTTATAAGAGATAAAGAGACACTATTTACATGGAGCTCTAAGCCAGGGTGGTTGCCACACCCAGCTGTGTCCCCTCGTTTCATTGCACGTGCATCGTCTCTTAGGCGTGGGCAGGTCTACACAGACTAGAGCCTGGACCACTTTGAGGACTCCCACTGAAGAAACAAGCCCACTGCTGCCCTGCCTGCAAGCTATGTTTCCTTTACCGTATCCTTCTCAGTCAATGCTGCTAGGTTGTGACCTATTCTCATCATGTGCGTTTGACTCTTTAGCCAAACTCAAGACCACTCCTGGCGGCCGAAGGGTGGCACTGCAACCCCCAGCCACCACTTCCCTAAATGGCTTTTCAGTGAAAAGCCGTTAGGCAGGTGAGGATGTTCAGGTCCTAGGTATCAGGTTTTACCTCAGCTGAGAATAAGAATGGGGGATCTGGCTCTGGATGCAGTGCCCACATGAAATGGTTCTAGAAGTCCGTCTTGGCATCTGAGAGGCCACATCTGGTAAAGGGGAAGAGCGGGGAGAAAGCGCCTAAGGCAGGCTCACTGGGAACTTGACCTGGCCAAGCACAAAGGCAGGGCCTGGGAACACGTGATGCCAGACTTCAAGACCCACAGTTATCACACTCGACCTCACTGACTTTCCTACCTCCGTCTTGCTATTTCTTTCCATTCTAACACATGTGTAGCTGCTTCTATCTTTACTGTTATTTACAGGGAACAATAATGAATTTGGGGAGTGGGGAGTTAGAACCAGAACTGTATCGTAGCGTATACACTTTCTGACCTATCATCAGTATACACATCTGAAAAGTGATACCACGGCAGCTACAGACAGCGTGAGAGCAGCTCGTCCCTGCATTACCATCTATACGTTGTCCAAATAGAGCAGCCTCAGTGACAGGACATGGAAGGATGGCCACGTGCGACAAAGGACAGCTGGGAGTGTCCTTGAAACTAGCAGTTTTGAGCGCAAAACCGGATTCAAAATCATTCTCCCCAGCTGTAGAAATCTCAAATTTTACATGTAAATAAAAAACAAAGTGCAGCTTTGTAGGGGTTTTTGATCGTGACTGTCTTCTCTCCTTTTCCCACACCACCAAGCGAAGCCACAGGGCTCCTCGCCACTGGGGTGTGGATTTTACCCCCGGGCGGCAGGGGGCGCCCTGCAGGAGCTCTAGAGGGCAGACAGTAGAGCACAGGCTGCTTAGGGGAAATGTAGCACTTCGCCTTTGGCCAACGACTTGTTTGGCTTGCCTCTGGCCTCTGAGAAATCTTGATATACGGATATACACTTGTGCCTTGCTGAAGTGGCTACTTTTAAAGTATTTAATCTATATGGAAGGTCACTTTTTTAAAAGGAGGAGGAAGGACTTCCCTGGTGGCACAGTGGTTAAGAATCCGCCTGCCAATGCAGGGGACACAGGTTCAAACCCTGGTCCGGGAAGATCCCAC